AGCCAGCCGGTGACGAAGCAGCTTCGAGTATCAGTCAAGACGGTGTTGAGTCCACGGGCTGAAGTGACTAGTTGATTGCATCCCAATCAGTAGCCGGATGTGTGCGGTCCGCTGGCTGGCCCGTTCAAAGCTTCGCAGTCGCGCGGGGCTAATAGGTGTCTGTTTGTCATCGCCGCCGAGGCCCCGTAAACTGTAGCGATGGCTAGGTAAAAGACGACTTCTATCGTTTACTGAACGTGCTCCTTCGTCACAGAAGATGCACGGACACTATTTATTGCTGGGGATCTGAGCGTTCAAGTTGGGAAATTGTCCACTGATGAGCTGCATCTGGGCGGCCAAGATAGTGTAGGCTCACGTAATGATAACGGTGAGCGGCTACTTTAATTGTGTGAACCTGCTCGCTTATTTCTTGCGAGCACTAACATCCGACACAGAACCCGTCGGAAGGTGACATGGCGCTCACTAGCGTCGAAACAGCCATGGACGCAAATCGATCACATCGCGATCAGTTATCGCTGGAGACGCTGCGCCCTAAACTGTCGCTCGATTTGGAGCAGGTATGTGGACATTGACCATGCACTTGTATGTTTTGATCTGCGGGTGCGATTTGGCCGTCGCCCTCGACGACTCAGTGAGTGCACAGAAACCAGCCAACTGGCGAAGCCAAATGTTTGAATGCGTATGGAAGTACGCTAGCGTTCGGGTTGAGTAAGCGCTCACTGAATACAGTTGAAGGTCACTAGTCGCATGTGCACCAGACCTTACTTGAAACAGGTAAATCATCATGTGGCAAATCCACCAGCCAAAATAGACATGTGGTCTCTTCGCAGTCTCTGAAATGTATCGATGCTCGCCGGCACATTCCGGCTGGAAGCGAACGCGAGTTTCGTAAAGGCATTAGGGCAAAACTCCGTGCTAGCCTGAAGAGAGATCGCGAACTTTGATGGTCTCTTAGTGCGTCAGAGATGGAAGTGACCGTTGCCCTTGTTAACCACCTGCAGTTGTTCCGTCTGATACGGGAAACGGGAAGCAGGAGACCTGGTGTTAATGAAACTATATGTGACGAGAGTGGACAGCCTATCCACAATTTGTCAAAACGTTTACAGCGTTGGGCTGAGTATTTTGAAAAGCAATTTAATCGACCGGAATTGTTCGATTCCTCACCGTCCAGTGATCGCCCTGCTCTCTAGACTGTCCCCTTGGATCCACCTTCTCGCTCAGAAGTCGAACGTGAAATCGGACTTTTGAAATTGAATAAACCCGCGGGACCAGATGTTCTTCGACCAGCCCTGCTCTTGTTGATGATCTACACGAGTTACTAGTGAATCTGTGGGTGCAGAAAATGGTCCCAACCGATTGGAGCCGTTCCGTTATTGTCCCGATCTTCAAAGGAGGCTCGCGTTCGGAGTGCGGCAACCATAGTGGAATCAGTCTGATCCCCATCGCCCCCAAATTACTTGTCTCTGTAATCCTTTAGAGACTAACCGGCGCTCGTGAAAGCCAGATTCGTGAGGAGCAAGCCGGGTTTCGTCGTGGAAGGGGAAGCATCGATCGCATCCTTACGTCAGTTGTTGGAGTACCGTCACATATATTGGCGGCCCACCGTTGTCGTGTTCCTCGACACCAAAGGTGCCTTCGATTCAGTGGATGGACGTGCCCTTTGGCAATGTTTGCTAAGGAAACTTGTGCCCGAGAAGTATGTGAATATTATATAAGCCCATTACGCGCGTAGCTCGAAGACTGAGAGCTTACGGCAAGCTGTTGCTGCCCTTCAATATCTCCAGCGGTGTACGACAAGGATGCTCGCTGGTACCTTTCCTGCTCATCTTGGCTATTGACGAAGTCATATAAATCGCGTTCACGGGACATGACTTAGAAGTTGTGGAGTCGCTCCCAGGTGAACGACTTATTGACTTGGAGCATGCTGACGATATTACCCACATTTGTGGCAGCTCCCAAACGTGCCAAACCGCGCTGGACAGATTAGCACTGGTTGTCACCCGTTCCGCGCTATGCTTTACACCTTCCAAGTGTAAAGCTTTCCTCTAAGTTTGGCATGGACCGCTTCCTGCGCTAATCCTTGGTGGGGATCAGCTGGAAGCCGTTCAAATGTTCAACTACCTAGGTAGTTGCATCAGCACCGTTGGAAGTGAAGAGGAGGTCACAAACCGTACTGCAGAAGCTACAGACGCTTTTGCTAAACTTCGTCACCTATAGCTCCGGTTCGACATCACTCTCTCTGAAAGGTAGGGTGTATAATGCAACCATACGTTCGACCCTACTGTACGGTTGTAAAACCTGTTCCATTAGATCAGCAGACATAAGGTGGCTAGTTACGTTCGACCACCGGTGCCTTCGCAGTTTGGCTCATATCTGGTGGGAACACCGTGTGAGCAATGAACGTGTTCGACGCCTTGTTTCTGGCGCAGAAAGAAGAACTGAACCGCTTAGCGTTGTTATTTCACCCACCAGGCTCCGATGGCTCGGCCACGTTTTGCGCATGCCAGCTCACCGACTTCCGTGACTTGCGTTGTCAGCGCGCCGGGGGTGCGGATGGAAGGACAGGTGACCAAGCAATGAATTGGTCAAGAGGAAATGAAGGCCCTTACTTCAAAGTTGGTCTCGGTTGGAGACTCTTCGCTCCGTGGATGGGGATTGAAGGACGATGAACACGTTTGGTTGGTTATACTTGTTGACATGGCTAGGTGCAGACTTCAATGACGTTTCTGTTGTGAGTTTCTTTGTCCCTCCCTTCCGCTTAGCCTCTCCATCCAACCACGATTTCAATTAATATGCATTATAGGAACTTTGTGGCACTATAGCCGGCTGTTAACCCTCCGGAGTGATGTCCAACCGTTACTGGTGACTCAGGCGGCGTGATTATTTGACATTTTCTTTTCTTTTATATTGCGGAACCATAGCCGTGTTTTCCACCTGCAGCTAGCGTGTATAATGATGAATGATGATTCTTGATATATGTTAACGATATCTTCGACGTATTAAAACTCGGTACACTACAACTGTTTGCCGATGAAACTAAAATCGTATACACTTCCGTCCGGATGGCTCCAATATTGCTGTCAATATGATCCAATGTTGCCTCCTTACGCTTGAAACCTGGTGTTCAAAGTGGAAAATGTCTTTCTTTACTGACAAATGTGCAATGTCCCACAAGTTAGACGACTTAAAGTGACCTGACGCTTGATGGCAGGTCGCTTAATCTCTGTGCTACGATAACAGACCTTGGATTGTGATGATTATGCTCATTTGACTTCTGTGAACAAGTAGGCTATATCACTGCGAGAGCAAGAGAGAAAATTGGATTGGCATTCAGGAGTTTGCCTTACATCAATCAGTATTTCATTAGTACATATAAGTTGTTCGACCCATTGGTATATCATCATCACCATCATCATCATCATTGGTATATCGGAACACAAAAAATGAGACCGCGTTGCACTGGAACAAGTATAGAGAGAATTCACAAAGCGCCTCCTAGGCGATCCTTCAAAACTGTTACGATGTGATAAGCTCAAGTTTGATCTGATGAAGCTACGGCACATGAAGCATAACGTAGTTATACTCTTTAACATCTTGCGCAGAAATATACACATTTCAAATCTCAACATGACATTGTTGCAATCAGCAGTCTATAACACACGAAACAAACAGAGCCAAGTGGCGAAATGCAAACCCAGGACAAGCAGGTTTGCCAATGTTTTTCTCAACAGCCACGCCAGAGCCTGGAACAAACTACCACTGGGAATACGTGCCTACACTCTTGAACACGAATTTCGCAAAAGTACCAACAAGTTCCTGATTGTACAGAACGTGATCCAGTTGTTTGATTGTTCTATAACAAGCTAAGCATATGAGCAGAGTTCAGGTTTCCTATGACCCAGTACATGTTTCACAAGCATACTATCTCCAGTGGTTCAGCCGTTTTATATGTGAGAGAACGGTTGAAAGCCGAGCAACATCACTTCAATTCAGTCAAGCATTTATCATGCCTTTGGTGTCCTTCCAGGTGTTGTTGTCTGCTCCGGTTTTTAATTTTCCTGATCCACCTTTGATTAAGGTTCTATGAAAGTATGAACATACAAGATCATACCGATGCAGGCGTGTCTCGCACCGTATAGAATAAAAGCTTATTTATTTACCAATCAACAGCAGTGGCAAATAAATGTATTCATTTTCATGGTAGTGTCATCAAAGCGATATCATCGCCGAATGGGCTATAGTAAGCAAAGGTAAAGATATGATGACTAATCAGTCATAGTAAAAAATGGTGGCAAGGTAAGGGACTAGAGAGTAAGAGTAGAATGTACAACGTCGTTATTAAATGGGCCAGAGAAATGATAACTAGTGGTAGTAAAGTAGTGCGGATATCTGAGGAAAACACCGGATGAGCTAAATCGTAGGCTTCCGTTATCACATTGAAGTCAGCATCAGTACGCCGGCCGCAGTACCGACGCTTTGCTACCAGGCAAACACCAATAGTTGCGCTTGGGCTAAGGATACTGCGAGGGTCGCCTGGTCTCATAAGCAATCTCGAACCCGCGACCACCAGGTTGCAAGGCAGACACCTTGTCCTTTAGGCCACGGATCGGTGTTATCACGATGAAGCACCCACTGGACCGGAGGCGCTTCATCCGGCCTAGTCACGTCATTCGTATGTTCATAGATTCGGACAGACTTCGAGAAGGTAGTGAAGGAAAGAAATGATGTACAGAGGACATGAGCATTGGGACAAGTATGGTGTTAGAAAGCTTATTGCGAGGTAATAGCTCCACACGTTACCAAACCACGTAATGCAAAAGGTGATACCACATCAAAGTCACAGTGCAAATATAGAGAATCAAGTACCATGCAGAAATACCACATCAAAACCAAATCCGGCAGAAAAAATGACATTCGCTTGTTTAACTGAGTTTCGACAAAATCGTGTTGTATACTCAAGTGGATAAGCGGAGAGAAATAACCAAATCAATGTGATTCACCTCAGAAAGAAGCCGCTTTAAACCTTCCAGTTCTTCTTCACCTGGGTGCAGCTCCCCGCCAGGTAGCTTGAAAAATGTGCCCAACTGCAGTAGCAGTACATGGGGCAGATTGTGCTCGTGCACCAACAAGACTCCTTCAACAGATCGTCGCATACCATATTTAGCGAAGTCCTCTTGTAGACGCTGAAAGCGAGCTGGTACGCTGCGATCGCGCTCATAATTGGGATCTTTTGTGCCAAAGCTGTAGCTTTTCAACGGGTACCTAAAGGAATAAAGGCCGGTGATGAAAAAGGAACAGGTAATACTGGATTCCAGAAGGAAAATTTCTGCGAGGCTATGAAAAATAAAAAACGGGTGCAACCGAAAAAGTGAGCGCACGTAAATCTGACTAGCGTCCTCTGTACGATTGAAAAATTGAAACCGAGATATGTAACCGTTATTAAGAAGCATTCTTGAGTGAAGTTAACGAAAATACTGAGAATAGAGAGCGAGAAGAGCAAAATTTGTGTGGCTCCATCGTAGATGGATCGGGCACATGCACGGAATCACGTCACTGATTCCCGCGCCGTGGCAGCATGCTGCAGCTGCACTGCACGTTATCCGGGTGCGATACGCTCCCTATACCTGTAGTCCGCAAAGCGAGCATCAAGGAAGCTCTTAAATTCTGACACCGATTTCGCTAGACTAGTGTCTCCGGAAATTTGCTCCAATATTTCACCAATTGACGCTGGAAGCAAAAAGGATGAGTGATGCGCTTTAAAGCCAGTACCACTAGTTTGTACCAGTGCGAGTGGGAAAAGTAAGGATAAGACGAAGAACAGAAGTATCGGTGGCGTATCAGCCTTTCGTAAAGGTCGTGCCGCCATATATATATATATATATATATATATATATATATATATGGCTTGCGGCATCCGGTTTCGAATTTGCCTGTCAGTGTGGCCAGTAACAGGAAGCCTGTGCCTACAGAGGGACTATGGATGGCTTGCGCTGCACCACCCACAGCTCCATCCACAGACCCCATATCCAGTGTAAACCCGAAGGAATAAGACCGGCAGGCATGTGGATGGGAGCCACGTTTCATCAACGGAGCCGGCCCACACTCCTTCACAGGCAAACACAAGCACTCTGTATTTGGGGAATCAAGCGCACACAATGCGATGGCTGGACCGTAGTCCGCTCCACACTGGGTGCATGGAACCACTCTTCGAGCCTAACACGGCCACAAGGACCGTGTACCTCATTCCCTTCAGCAACGACCAACTGTCTCCTGGAGCCAATATGGACGAGGTAGTGGGTCATAGACAGGTAGGCACCTTGTCAACATGCACATCAAGCGCAGTCATACCGGGGATATCAAGCAACAACCAATCACTTGAAAAGACAGGATGAAATAAAGTAAATTGAATAATGCATACAGATACGGCGGCATAACTCTTC